GTCTAACTTGACCCGACTTTTTTTTTATTTAAGGAGAGGACAATATTTCTTCCAATGTCCTTCAACTAAACAGTAGCAACAGGTATTAGCATTAACCGATGCTTTAAGTCCTCCAGACCCAAACTTCTGCTGAGGCCTTTGAAAAGAAGCTCCAAAATAAGGTGACCTACTATGCCTAGAAGGGAAGTTATTTTTATGGTACATGTCACTGTTTGACTCAAATGGCTTTTATGTGTTAGCCTGTACTCATCTGCAAGGACTACTGCATCACCTGGAGACTTAACTTTACGTTCATTCATGTATGTAGCAACCTGGTCAGACACAGAATTTTTGAACTGTTCTAACACAATCAAATTAGACAGACCCTCAAAAGTACTAACTTCAGAAGCTGTACACCAACAATTAAATGCAGAAGTCAAATCACAAACAAACTCAGAATAGGTTTGTGAATCTAACTTTTTCCTGTAACGAAAACGTTGACGATATGCCTCTGGCACAAGCTCGTAGACCTTCAGAACTGCTGATTTAACTTTATCATACACTTTACTGTCAGCTACACTCAGTGCTACAAAAGCCTCATGCGCTTTACCTGTAAGTACACATTGCAACAACATAGTAATGTCCAAATCTGACCAAGCTCCAGCTTCCGCAATACGCTCAAATAAAGCAAAGTATGTGTCTGGATCTGACTCGTCAAATTTAGGCAACAAACAAAGATTCCGTGAAACGTCAAACTGTGGTAGTCCCTCTGGTCTATTAGCATTTCTCCAACTGCATATGCAAACAGCTCCCTCTGCTGCTCAAAAGTTAACGAAGGACTAGACTGAAAACTTGTACCCTCACTACTAGCAGATTGACACGAAAAAACACCTATTTCCATAAGACCCTGCTTTAATTTAGCTTTAACAGTCTCTAATAATTTTTGTATCAACAATCTCAATCTGATAATGTTCAGCAATTTCAATTAACTGCTCCTTAGTACACAACTCTAAGGCTACCGCTGAAGAAGCTTGAACAAAACCACTCAGAATATAAGACATTTTACTCAACCAATACAACCAATACAAATGCTCCAAAACCAAAACAAATACCCAATTCACCTGCTGTCAGTCTGGGTTCAAGGACAAGAGCCACACCCCACTATCCTCCAAAAACTAACTAACTAACTGGCCCTAGTCTTCGTGCAGTCACATGTGGTGGGGTTTTATGCACACAAAACCAGTGGAGTGGAAAAGACAACCAGAAACTGGCAGCCCCCCCCATAACCACGGAGGTGCTCCCGAGCCGACGTAAGGGAAAAGGGAAAGGGAAGCTCTACCCACGTTCACTGCCACCTAAAACAAAAACACCACGAGCCTCCTACTGACACTCGCTGATAAACCTGAACAGGAGAGGACTCCCACTTGAACAACAACCCAGAAAAACCCAGAGTGAATTGCTACCCAAATTTAACTACCAAATTAACTAAACCAAAAGAACACATGGCTCTCAACGCTCTCTCCAACAATATTGGCCCAACCAAAACATCCCCTCAAACAAAACATTTGGCAATCTGAACTAAACTAACCCAAATTAACTATAAAACAATAGTCAAATAAGCCAAATTACAAATAAACAAACGTATCAATAATAAAGCAAAGGCAATCCAGACAAAACCTTAACCAACTATGACAAAATGTTAAAGTAAAATAAAATACTAAAGTAAGACTACAGTATAATTAACTTTAACTTACAGACGAGCCCCCACTTGCCATAGGCAAGAATGAGGGGACGTGAACAACAGGTATAGGCCAACCAAAAGGTTCTTTATTGTAAACCAAAAACAATTAACTTTAAACATAGAAAATGTCATGGTGTAGGTAAGATGCATGAATCTGTGTGTGTGAACATGACTGAGTGGAAACAAAGTAAACCTACAAAGGAACAAACAAATCAGGATCATACCTGGAGGAGCAGGGAGAGAGCGAGAGAGTGGTTAGTGAAGCAGTTTTAAATACCCTGAGCCCAGGTGGCTCCAATCACACCAACTCCAATCACTAACGACCCTCCTCTGCCTGCAGGAGGAACTGCCCCTGCACTGCAGAGGGGCCGTGACAACGCTCTAGTGGAACAAAAATCGTAAAGCACCTGGTATTCCCAGGCGGTCTCCCATCCAAGTACTAACCTGGCCCGACCCTGCTTAGCTTCCAAGATCAGAAGAGATCAGGCGTATTCAGGCTGGTATGGCCGTAAGTGTAGGAACAACTCTTGGTACACTATATAAAGTAAATGTGTCACGTACTCTGAAAGGGAGACAAACAAGTATCCACTTTGTGACACAGACTGAAGAAGCTCAAACCTTGCTTACATTTCCAGCCAACATATTTGAGTCTTGTGGGGGGGGAAAAGAGGGCATATCCTATGTTGACTTTTGACAAGTTCATGGAGTAGGGCCCTATAAAATAGGCGTTGCGGACTGAATCACAGAATCCAGACATCAAACCAAAATTCAACAATATTCAAAAATGTATTGAACTTAGTAGGAAATCAACTAAATCTATTCAAATTGTTAGAAAACGCATTCATTTGCCTAAGTGAATCATAAGACATTAACAAAATGTATCCGTGATTCGTATTTCCATGCAACTTAATGAACCGACTAAAAACAAAGGCTGAATGTACTGCCTATATTTTGAGGGAAACGCACTGTCTATTATTTCATTTGATCAGGGCAGGGCAGGGCAGCACATACAAACTGCATTTAGTCCAATAAAAATACATGATATTATTAGGGTGATAAATAAAAGGCAGTTGCTCCATGACACGAGTACGCTCTAGTGGAGCAAAAAGCTTACAGCACCTGGTATTCCCAGACTGTCTCCCATGCAAGGACTAACCAGGCCCGACCCTGCTTAGCTTTCGAGCTCAGACAAGATCAGGCGTATTCAGACTGGTATATCCTATGTTGACTTAGGACAAGTTCATGGACTAGGGCCCTATAAAATAGGTGTTGCGGACTGAATCACGGAATCCAGACATTAATTACAAAAATGTATTGAACTTAGTAGGAAATCAACTAAATCTATTCAACTTGTTAGAAAACGAATTCATTTTACCTAAGTGAATCATAAGACATGAAATGTAAAAAGACAAAATAAGACAAAATGGTCTAAGGCACTGCATCGCAGTGCTAGCTGTGCCACTAGAGATCCTGGTTCGAATCCAGGCTCTGTCGTAGCTGGCCGCGACCGGGAGACCCATGGGGCGGCGCACAATTGGCCTAGCGTCGTCCAGGGTAGGGGAGGGAATGGCTGGCAGGGATGTAGCTCAGTTGGTAGAGCATGGCGTTTGCAACGCCAGAGTTGTGGGTTTGATTCCCACGGGGGGCCAGTATGAAAAATACAAAAAATTATGTATGCACTCACTAACTGTAAGTCGCTCTGGATAAGAGTGTCTGCTAAATGACTAAAATGTAAATGTCTCCTCTGGGCCAGGTTTGTCCATCAGTGCCTGAGTTTCCTGTCAGCCATGGTGTCCCAGGGAGCAGACAGAGCCAGAGAAGTATTCACTTCACTAAAGGCCTGTCTGCTCTGGCCAAGAGGAAGGATAAGATGGTGATAGACCTGGCCAATGTCTGTGTGCATCCCAAATAGCACCCTATTCCCTATATAGTGCACTACTTTCAACCAGGGTCCATAGGCAGAGGGAGAGACTCATCTCTCCAGACCCAGTCCCGCTCTAACTCCGGAACAGGGGGAGGAAGGAGAGGTAGAGAGACGAGAGGAGGAGAAGTATACCCCTCACCTCAGGACTATCTTCACACACTGGAAGTCTGTCTCTTCATCTCCCTGTCTGTCCCCTGCTCTCACTTGGGGCCAAAGCCAGGCCACTGGTACTTTTCAGCTGGCATTTACATAACAATGACTAACTGTGAACTTTAACACCTTCTCACAAAGGAACTGTTTTGATGATGCAGAGTTGTTGATTCTGCTCTTCACAAGTCCTCATTGTCAGCCCTAGATATGGAAACACCATGTCCCTAGTATAACATAAGGGTGTATCCACTAGTATAACATAAGGGTGTATCCACTAGTATAACATAAGGGTGTATCCACTAGTATAACATAAGGTGTATCCACTAGTAAACATAATGGTGTATCCACTAGGATAACATAAGGGTGTATCCACTAGTATAACATAAGGGTGTATCCACTAGTATAACATAATGGTGTATCCACTAGGATAACATAATGGTGTATCCACTAGGATAACATAAGGGTGTATCCACTAGGATAACATAAGGGTGTATCCACTAGTATAACATAAGGGTGTATCCACTAGTATAACATAAGGGTGTATCCACTAGTATAACATAAGGGTGTATCCACTAGGATAACATAAGGGTCTCTGCTGCACTCCACCAATCAGGATCTGCAGAGAAGAATGGGAGAAACTCCCCCAAATACAGGTGTGCCAAGCTTGTAGCGTCATACCCAAGAATAATCAAGGCTGTAATCTCTGCCAAAGGTGCTTCAAGAAAGTACTGTATACTGGTGGTCCTCTGTAGCTCAGCTGGTAGAGCACGGCGCTTGTAACGCCAAGGTAGTGGGTTCGATCCCCGGGACCACCCATACACAAAAAATGTATGCACGCATGACTGTAAGTCGCTTTGGATAAAAGCGTCTGCTAAATGGCATATTATATTATTATTATTATTACTGAGTATAAGGTCTGAATACTTATGTAAATGTAATATCTGTTTTTTTATTTGTAATACATTTGCAAAAATGTCTAAAAACCTGTTTTTGCTTTGTCATTAACAAAACGTAACAAAGTGGAAAAAGTCAAGGGGTCTGAATACTTTCCGACTGCACTGTATGTGGGTTCAGTCTGTCTTTTTACATGCACGAAGAAGAGGAGTAGTTGACTGACTGCACCGAGTGGAGTTAGTTACTGTGTTTAAACTTCAGTAACATGTCGTAGCGTTAGAATGATGACTCAGGAGTGTGCTTTATTGCAACGTCAGTGAACCCTCCTCCTAATAACTCTGTGAACCTTATCACAGGTTCCAAAGTCTAAACGTGCTGTATTCCAACTTCATTTGGTTCTTTGCAGCATAGCTATTCATATCCACTGTAGATACTAATATATATACAAAACTATCATTATTATGGAGAAGCTCACCGATAACCTGATCAAGTACAAGGACTATGTTTTTGCGAAGGATTTGTTCATCGCTGAGTACATTGACTCCCTGCAGACCTTTGAGATCCGGGACAGTGACATCTTTCTGGTCACTTACCCTAAGTCAGGTGAGTGACAAATCTACTGGATGGATAAACAGCGTTTGAGATGGTCCAGACACTTCATACTTGGGGGTACTTGACATGAAAAAGGTTGAGATCCCTGCTCTGTTTAGGTAATCAGTGAGGAGAGAAACCTGCTCTGTTTAGGTAATCAGTGAGGAGAGAAACCTGCTCTGTTTAGGTCATCAGTGAGGAGAGAAACCTGTCACAGGTAGGGAGAATAAAAACAGCCTTTTAGAAAGTTAAAGGCACAATCCGGGATTGGAACATCCATCTTTGGAATTTTAAATGAGTGATATCCATTGACTCTTGAAAAATATAACTTAAATCCTCCCGAGTGGCGCAGCGGTCTAAGGCACTGCAGCGCTTGAGGCGTCACTACAGGGCTCGATCCCGGGCTGTGTCGCAGCCAGCCGCGATCGGGAGACCCATGAGGCGACGCACAATTGGCCCAGCGTCGTCCGGGTTAAGGGAGGGTTTGGCCGGCCGGGACGTCCTTGTCCCATCGCGCTCTAGCGACCTCCTGTGGCGGGCTGGGCGCATGCACGGTTGTACGGTGTTTTCTCCAACACATTGGTGCGGCTGGCTTCCGGGTTAAGCAGTGTGTCAAGAAGCAGTGCGGGTTGGCAGGGTCGTGTTTCGGAGGACGCATGGCTCTCGACCTTCGCCTCTCCCGAGTCCATACGGACAAGACTGTAACTACCAATTGGGGAATATAACTTATACATTTCTCCTGAGACATGACATAGTTCAACTGTCTTAATGTTTGTTTTACTCCAGCCCCTTCAGCTCTGGCAGGGGGACTGCTTCGTTGTTTTTTTTCCGAATCCCCTTTAACCATGTCGCTCCCAAGAGCTCTATGACTGACACCTTTCATGATGCTGACCTGTAGGAACGATCTGGGCACAGCAGATCATCACCTCTATCTGTGAGTCAGAGATGGGTGATGTCTATCCCAACAACTTAGAGATGATGCCATGGCTGGAGTATATGGAAAAACGCCCTGACTATTCCTTACGCCCCAACCCGCGGCTATTCGCCTCCCACCTCACCCCCGTACTCATGCCCCCAGGCCTGAGGAACAAGAAGGCAAAGGTAGGCAGAGGAGGGGAAGATGGAGGCCCTACTGTATGGTTTGCATCCCAAATGTCACCCTTTTCTCTATACAGTGCACTACTTTTGACCAGAGCCCACAGGGCTGTAAATGTCTCTCTTGTTCTCAGATGATCTATGTGATGCGGAACCCAAAGGACAACGTGATTTCCTACTATCACTGGTGTATCAACTGGGCCTTGTTTGAGACCCCAAAGAGCTTCGAGGACTTTCTGGACCAGTGGTTAGCAGGGAATGGTAGAGTAAAGACATCATTCATATAACACCATGGTTGAGTCCCAAATGGCACCATATTCCTTCTCTACATAGTGCACTAATTTTCACCAGGGCCGATAGGGCTCTGGTCAAAAGTAGTGACCTACAGTGAGGGAAAAAAGTAATTGATCCCCTGCTGATTTTGTACGTTTGCCCACTGACAAAGAAATGATCAGTCTATAATTTTAATGCTAGCTTTATTTGAACAGTGAGAGACAGAATAACAACATAAAAATCCAGAAAAACACATGTCAAAAATGTTATAAATTGATTTGCATTTTAATGAGGGAAATAAGTATTTGACCCCCTCTCAATCAGAAAGATTTCTGGCTCCCAGGTGTCTTTTATACAGGTAACGAGCTGAGATTAGGAGCACACTGTTAAAGGGAGTGCTCCTAATCTCAGCTTGTTACCTGTATAAAAGACACCTGTCCACAGAAGCAATCAATCAATCCGATTCCCAAACTCTCCACCATGGCCAAGACCAAAGAGCTCTCCAAGGATGTCAGGGACAAGATTGTAGACCTACACAAGGCGGGAATGGGCTACCAAGACCATCGTCAAGCAGCTTGGTGAGAAGGTGACAACAGTTGGTGCGATTATTCGCAAAAGGAAGAAACACAAAAGACCTGTCAATCTTCCTCGTCCTGGGTCTCCATGCAAGATCTCACCTCGTGGAGTTGCAATGATCATGAGAACGATGAGGAATTAGCCCAGAACTACACGGGAGGATCTTGTCAATGATCTCAAGGCAGCTGGGACCATAGTCACCAAGAAAACAATTGGTAACACACTACGCCGTGAAGGACTGAAATCCTGCAGCGCCCGCAAGGTCCCCCTGCTCAAGAAAGCACATATACAGGGCCGTCTGAAGTTTGCCATTGAACATCTGAATGATTCAGAGGAGAACTGGGTGAAAGTGTTGTGGTCAGATGAGACCAAAATCGAGCTTTTTGGCATCAACTCAACTTGCAGTGTTTGGAGGAGGAGGAATGCTGCCTATGACCCCAAGAACACCATCCCCACTGTCAAACATGGAGGTGGAAACATTTTGCTTTGGGGGTGTTTTTCTGCTAAGGGGACAGGACAACTTCACCGCATCAAAGGTACGATGGACGGGGCCATGTACCGTCAAATCTTGGGTGAGAAACCTCCTTCCCTCAGCCAGGGCATTGTAAATGGGTCGTGGATGGGTATTCCAGCATGACAATGACCCAAAACACACGGCCAAGGCAACAAAGGAGTGGCTCAAGAAGAAGCACATTAAGGTCCTGGAGTGGCCTAGCCAGTCTCCAGACCTTAATCCCATAGAAAATCTGTGGAGGGAGCTGAAGGTTAGAGTTGCCAAACGTCAGCCTCGAAACCTTAATGACTTGGAGAAGATCTGCAAAGAGAAGTGGAACAAAATCCCTCCTGAGATGTGTGCAAACCTGGTGGCCAACTACAAGAAACGTCTGACCTCTGTGATTGCCAACAAGGGTTTTGCCACCAAGTACTAAGTCATGTTTTGCAGAGGGGTCAAATACTTATTTCCCTCATTAAAATGCAAATCAATTTATAACATTTTTGACATGCGTTTTTCTGGATTTTTTTGTTGTTATTCTGTCTCTCACTGTTCAAATAAACCTACCATTAAATGTATAGACTGATCATGTCTTTGTCAGTGGGCAAACGTACAAAATCAGCAGGGGATCAAATACTTTCTTCCCTCACTGTATATAGGGAATAGGGTGCCATTTGGGACACAAACAGCCTGTTATAACCCTGACAGCCTACGTCCTAAATGTCACCCTATTCACTATATAGTATAGTGCACTACTTTTGACCAACCCATGAATACTGTAATAACCTTGGTGACACAGCCTGTTATGACCATGTTATTGCCCTACAGTTTGTGCTTCGTCCTGGTTTGACCACATCAGAGAGTGGCACAGTAAGAGAGACCAGTACAACATCCTGTTTCTGACCTATGAGGACATGATCATGGTAAGATATTACAGACTCATCTTACACCTATGACCTCTGACCTCTGCTCTACTGGATAGCTAGCTAGAGACAACCAACCAGCCTGGCTTGCCTATCCCCAATCTTTTGGCCTAAATTTTCCAATTTTATTAACAAGGATGGACATGAAATGAAGAGGGAGACAGACAGAGGACATAGTGTGTAGAAGTGCTGTGGGGCCGGCGTGTGATCCCACACAGGCAGGGGATTGCATATGTGCCGAGGGCAGTGGACTTCACCACTTGACCAACCTCAGGCACAGGGGTTCCATCTTTAATGGACATGTTCCTCCTTTCTCAGGATCTGAAGACAGCCGTGCTGAAGATCTGCCGCTTCCTTGAGCGGGACCTGACTGAAGCAGACATCAACAAGATAGTGGAAAAAGCCACGTTCAAAAACATGAAACACGACCGCAAGGCCAACTACGAGTTCATACCAGAGGACATTCTCAAAAAGGGGCAGTTCCTACGCAAAGGTCAGGGCCTGTATTCACACAGCGTCTCTATACCAGTGTTGATCTACTCTGAGATGCTTCACGAATGTGGGCCTGAGATTGGGAGAAAAAAAACGTTTATAAATATTCTTACTCTGAATAATGACGTGTTGGTTGTGCTGTGACAGGTAAAATCGGGGAGTGGAAGAACATGTTCACAGTGGCCCAGAGTGAGAGGTTTGACCAGGTCTATGAGGAGCGGATGAAGGACGTGACTCTGAAGTTCATCTGGGACATGGATCAACAATCAGAGTGATGGAAAGGTGGAGCCTGCAGCTCTGCCGCCACAAACTACCCAGAAGACACTAAAGCCATGGACATTCGTGTCAATTATCTGTTGAATGTACCAAAACTTGATATCCATTACAGACAAAGGTCTCTTCTTCTTCTTCTTCTTCTTCGATGAGGGTTAACTGCGGTTGGCATCCAATTTGTTGCATTACTGCCACCTACTAGATTGGAGTATAGCGCCCTAATCGTTTTCTTGAAAAATAAAATTCAAAATAATTACTAATAATTAACCCCACCCTTCTCCACTATTTTAATATATTCACTCCTACCTCATGCCCTCAACCTGAAATGATGGGACATCACCACTTAACACTCCCTGTAACTCTTCTGCTGTCAAGTCTGGCACACCCAAGTCTCTGCAGCTGCCACCACAACCTGCGTTCCATCCCTGCAGTACAATGAATAACCATTGCTATGAATGCTAAAAATCCAATCTTACTGAAACATATATCACTTTCTTGCCTATCCCTCTGTACTGGTACATATCTCCTACTCTCACCACTCCCCTCCCCCCCTTGACCCCTCTTCCTCTACTTTTCTTCACTGCCTCCGCATATTAAAGGTCTCTTCCTGGTGCACGCTTGCATTTAAAAGGTAACTACACCCCAAAATCTAAATGTCTTCCATTTTTCCCAGACCTCAAAAATGCTCTCCTGATAGGGTTTAAACATTGTTGTGGACATAGCAAAACAGCACAATTGGATGTTCTATTAAAAAGGTGTACTTTTGAGAGCGAAAACCTGCAAAAACAGGGACAAACGGTCAAATCTAAAAAGGAGAAAAGGGAACTTGGGGAAAAAAACGGAATCAGGCAAACCATCGAAGGGATTTTTTAGTGCCCTAATGTACTATAATAATAATATGCCATTTAGCAGACGCTTTTATCCAAAGCGACTTACAGTTATGTGTGCATTAATTTTTACTTATGGGTGGTCCCGGGGATCGAACCCACTACCCTGGCGTTACAAGCGCCATGCTCTACCAATTGAGCTACAGAGGACCACTACTACAGACATTGACAGTCTCCTAGACTGCTCCTAGAGGTCATATCCTATGTTGACTTATGACAAGTTCATGGAGTAGGGCCTTATAAAATAGGCGTTGCGGACAGAATCACGGAATCCAGACATTAAACCGAAATTCAACAATATTCCAAAATGTATTGAACTTAGTAGGAAATCAACTAAATCTATTCAACTTGTTAGAAAACGCATTCATTTGCCTAAGTGAATCATAAGACATGAACAAAATGTATCAGTGATTCGTATTTCCATGCAACTTAATGAACCGACTAAAAACAAAGGCTGAATGTACTGCCTATATTTTGAGGGAAACACTATTATTTCATTTGATCAGGACAGGGCAGGGCAGCACATACAAACTGCATTCAGTCCAATAAAAATACATGATATTATTAGGGTGATAAATAAAAGGCAGTTGCTCCATGACACAAGAGTACGCTCTAGTGGAACAAAAAGCTTACAGCACCTGGTATTCCCAGACGGTCTCCCATCCACGTACTAACCAGGCCCGACCCTTCTTAGAGTACGTGACACATTTACTTTATATAGTGTACCAAGAGTTGTTCCCTTGCTTACCGCCATACCAGCCTGAATACGCCCCTTTCGGTAATTGAGGAAATGGTTACAGGCACGTTGGTATTGGAGGAGGAGGAGAGGGAATTGTTTGCTGCGTTTTGAAATCAATCTTTTGTTTGGTGAATTATTTGGAATCAAATTTGTCTCTTTGATTTATTAGTAGAGTTGTTTCTCCCCTAGCAGCTTTTGCTGTTGGGGGAAAGACAGAAAGGAAAAAGAAAGAACGATATATTTAGTTAATTGGACAGATTACAATGGCTACAATGACCAACGCGAGGGAACAGACAAAGAGTACTGGACATGGAGAAAATGTTCCTGGTGCATCATCGAGGGAAAAGTCCTATGTCAAGTCTTGTACGGTGGCGGTGGAAATCACTGGGGGAAAAAAACTAACGATGATGGAATTGCTGAGAGGGATAAAGGAGGCCTTTGGAACGGTGACAGGGTGCAGATTTAAAGGTGATCAGAAGTACGAGATAACGATGTCGCATGTCCATGGGAAGGAGAGGTTAATGGATGGTCTGAAGATCAAATCGTGCACGGTAATGGCGAGGGACATTTCAGCGGATGAGCTGGTGGTGTCCTTCATGAATTTACCAGTGTATATTAGTGACGATGCTGTTGTGGCAAAATTGGAAGGATGCGGTGTGACGGCGGTTTCGGTGATTAAGAGGAGGTTATGGCCAGGAACAGAGATCGCTGATGGTACAAGATTCTGTAAAGTCCGGTTTACAGGCGTGGTGCGCTCACTACCATATTCTACCAAAGGTCGAGACGTTGGAGGGGACTGAGTACTTTCGGGGGATACACGACAGACAAGTTAAAGTGTGTCGAATTTGTATTCAGTCTGGACACGTAGTACGGGACTGTCCTGATTTTCCATGTCGGCGATGTGGAGTACGAGGGCACTATGCGAGAGAGAGCGTCGAGAGAGAGCGTCGAGAGAGAGCGTCGAGAGAGTGCGTCGAGAGAGTGCGTCGAGAGAGAGCGTCGAGAGAGAGGAGAGACCATGTAATGGATGTGGGGAGAGAGGAATGCGCTGTACGTGTAATGGGCCAACAGATGGTGAAGACATGGAACAACAGGAGGAGGAGATGGAAGAAGAAGAGAGTGTGGAGGAGGGGGAACGCGATGGAGGACAGGGAAAAAGGAGGCAAGGATGGTGAAGGAGGAGGAGATGGTGAATCTACTGGGGCGGATGGGGATGGAATAGGGGCGAGCATGGACGTAGAATTCTTAAAATGGATACTTCACAGATGGAAAGGAGCCTGAGGGTGGAGGAGGAGGGGAGCAGAACACGGAAACATCTGAAGGTGAGGGAGATGAGGATCACGGAAGGGGTTATACCTGACACTACTCCTGAAAGTATGGATGTGAAGGGTGAATCCGCGAAGAGGAAGGACTCTGAGGGTGAAGTGTCCTCGGGTGAAGTCCAAAGGGTGAGGAAAGAAGCAAAGGAAAGGAGGCAGGGCAAGATCAAGAAGAAGAAAAAAAAATAAAGACTGGGTCTTGATGATGGAAACAATCAACATAATACTTTTAAATTATGGTGAGTGTTATATCTGCTAATATTGATGGATTAAGAAATATGGAAAAGTTGGAAGAGACAGTGAGTCTGCTACAGGCTGATATTTCATGCCTCCAAGAGACACACTGGACTGATAGTATGATGGATGGAGTAAGAATGAGATGGATGGATTTGATTTATTATGATAATGGTGGGGAGAGGAAGTGTGGGGTTGCTATATTAATTAAGAGGGAAAGTGTGCAGAATATTAGGCAAGTGTATGCGGATGAAGAGGGTAGACTTTTGAGTGTTACATTTGAATTTCTAAAATGTGCAATACACTTTATTGAATGTTTATGCACCTAATAGATGAGACTGACCGAGCTGTATTTTTTTAAGGCACTTGAGAAACATTGTGTGGGTAATTGTATATTGGTTGGGGATTTTAACGTTAAATTGACTAAACTGGACACGTCAAGGAGTACTTTGTTGCGCTCTGACATGTCAAGGCGAGCATTGTTGGGGATAATGAAGGATCATTGTGTGAGTGATGTTTGGAGGGGAATGCATCCAGGTCAGAGAGTTTTTTTCAAGGAGGCAGGTCGTTTTAAAGGGTCTCAGGCAAAGCCGCATAGATTATTGTTTAGTGTCTGAAAATGTTGTGCAATATGTACACACAAGATTAGGTATGATTTTGTATGAAGTGATCATGCCTCTCTTGGGTTCATGCTGGGTCCTAGTGTGCCTTCTAGAGGGGGTGGAGTATGGTGTTTGAATGCTGAGCTATTAAAAGGAAAATATATTGATATTGTCACACCCTGGCTCTGGGGACTCTAATATGTTGAGCCAGGGTGTGTAGAGTCTGTGTTTTTGTTCTATGTTCTCATTCTAGTCAGTTGTGTTTCTATGTTGGCCGGTGTGGTTCTCAATCAGAGGCAACGTGAATCAGCTGTTGCTTGTTGTCTCTGATTGGGAACAATACTTAGTCAGCCTGTTTCCCCCAGTGTATTGTGGGATCTTGTTCCGTGTTGGTTTATGTTTGTTAACCAAGGACTTCACGTTATTGTTTGTTGTTTTGTTCGTGTAATCAGTTAATAAATAAGTATGTTTGCAAATAACGCTGCGCGTTGGTCCTCCTCCTTCGACGATCGTGACAGAAGATCCCACCAATATAGGACCAAGCAGCGTGCCCAGGAGCAGACAGCCTGGACATGGGAGCAGATATTGGACGGGAAGGGGTCCTGGACCTGGGAGGAAATCCAGGCCGGGATGGATCGCCGTCTGTGGGAGGAGACGGTGGAGGCGCGCCGGAGAGAGGAGCAACGGCGTCAACAGTGTCGTCGTCGGATGGACGAGAGGCAACCCCAAAAAAAATTTAGGGGGGGGCACACGGCATGGGCGACGGGGCAGCAGGAGGCAGCCACAGGGCGTATTGGGAGGTTAGGAGAGGAGGCCACCAGGTTAAGGGGGCTATTGGTTAGGAGAGAGCAGGAGTTAGTGGGTCAGAGGGAGGAGCTACTGGATGCTAGAAGGGAGAAGGAGAGAGTAGAGGCAAGGCGAGAGGAACTGAGTAGGCAGCTGAGGGAGCGGAGGGTTATGAAGAAACCCAGTCCCGCTCCTCACACCAAGCAAGTGGTGTGTGTTCCCAGTCCGGCCCGATCCGTTCCTGCTCCCCGCAACTAAGTTAGTAGTGCGTGTTCCCAGTCCGGTCCGGCCCGTTCCTGCTCCCCGCACTAAGTTAGTAGTGCGTGTTCCCAGCCCGGCCCGACCTGTTCCTGCTCCCCGCGTCGCCAGCCCGGCCTGTTCCTGATCCCCGCACCAAGCCAAGGGTGCGCGTCGCCCCAGCCCGGCCCGGCCTGTTCCTGCTCCCCGCACCAAGCCAATGGTGCGCGTCGCCAGCCAGCCCGGCCCGGCCTGTACCTGCTCCCCGCACCAAGCCAATGGTGCGCGTTGCCAGCCCGGTCCGGCCCGTTCCTGCTCCCCGCACCAAGCCAGGGGTGCG